TTCGATAAGCCTTGGCGAAAAAAGATTTACACTTTTCTAAAACTCTGAATGTTAATTACGTATATTTTTTGAAAATCATGAACAAAGAACATTGATACGAATAAAACTATATCCTTTTGATTATATCACTTGGAGTTGGACAAAGAAAATAAAATTTACTAATTTGGAGGCCTGTATTTTGTATGTTTCACGTGGAATTTAATTTCAAATCAATAGTAATTGATCTCCAGTATTAGAAATTAGTACGTACGTACGTACTGACGCTAAATCATTTGCATGACAGGGTTTTCTCGGCATCATCAAATTCGTGTTACAAAATATCTGTCATTTAGTACGTATGTGCTAATTGTACGTATTATGTATACATTGGTATAAATCTTGTTAATAATAAGTGAGAATATCACTTGATTAAGTTTAACGGTTGGATAAAATGCAGTTAAATAATTGTTGCATATTATGTAATTAAAGCGCCAAGATTAGGTAATACGTATTCCCCCTTGTGAATTATGTGCAGGGATTTAGAGCTTATCGCCTATACATTGCAGGGTGTCTTGAATAAATAAGAAATCTAAAGATCTATTACGTATTATTTTTATTATAATTATTATTGACAATACAAATATATAATTTTACATATGATAACAGGTTTAATGCGATGTATGTTGTATAAACATGTACAATAATAAACAAGTAATGCCCTTTTTAAACCAAAACTTATTTATACAGCTAAATCTATTAGCAATAGGTACACAAAATAAAAAAATTTTTTTTATAGTAATTTTGCACGTACCATTTTCCAAAAGTATTTGAATAAACATTATTACAGTATAAATAAAAATTTATCTCTAAATTAATTTAAAAAAGTGATTGCCTTTTGGACATTTTATGTATTACATATTAAATAAAAGTAGCAGGTAATCATATGAATCCATCTTTTCTTCTTTCGATATTATTCTGATTACTTTGATTACTTGGTGTTGGAAAAAGTGTATTAACATTTTCAATAATGTATTCGACTATCATGTTTTTGGAATTCATGTCGAAAATTTCGTTACTAGGATTTGGACCGCGAAGCAACGTAGGCCCAAATACGACAGATAGATTTTTAGCATTCATGCGGTTATCAGCACCTTGTTGTCTGACCCTGTTATTTACAAAAAAGAAATTAGATCTTTTTTTTTTTAATGAGAATTAAAAAAAAAACCAAAAACAACAGGGTCTTACCTGTCCAAATGTAGCATAAGATGCCTTGTAGTAGAATAGTGAACTTTTGGCAATTTCTGCGTAAGCTGTCGGAATTTTTCGAGTTTTTCATCACCATCTTCCAAAGCTTTTTTTGAAATAATAAAGAAATAATGAATTGAAGTGAAACAAAGATGTTTGACAATGATTTTTAATCCATCTCCTTACCAATTGAATCTAGAAAACCCTGATATAATTCAAATGTTAATAAAGGATTTGGTAGTTCGCGCAAATAATGTTTAAGTACGCTGGTAACCGCGCAGATATCATTAAATTGATTAGGGGTTTCTAGATCAAAATCTTTCCCTTGGTCAAAAGCCGCTATGATTTCACGCATTTGCGTAGCGCCACCAGATTTCCGGTAAATTCCTTCAAGATCCATTCCTATTGAAATAGTAAAAAAAAAATAAAAAATTTAGATCAACAATTTTATAAATTATCAGATACAAATAATGATATTATATAATCTGGTCTAAAACTGATAAACACAGTCTGTCTTAAGACCAATTCAGAACTGATATAAGTTAGTCTAAACTCTTAAGACTAGAATAGTCTAGACTGATGTAAGTTAATCTAGACTCTTGAGACTAAACCAGTCTGGACCAGTTAAGTATTAAAACCATAAACCATAATAAACCAGACATAATCAGACTGTTAACATCCCTAGACCCAATGTTAAATTTACCTCGAAGTTCAACGGCTAATATACACTTCAATACTATATACGGCACCTCATCTCCATCCAATTCGGCCTGCTTTGTAAGATCAAGACCAAACATACTATTGTGTTCAATATCATGTTCCGTAGACACTCCATGATAAGTTGGATAAGCGTCTTGATTAATAAACATTTGGTTTATCATTTTCTTTTTCGCCTCTTCTCGGTTATCATTAGTATGTGCTGGCAAGCCAATAACATGTGCGCTTCCTAAAAATTTATTGAATTTTCCTTTTCCTTTTCTAGCTATCCATTGGAACACTTTTGGTTGCGTAACAACTGTACTATTACGACGATCAACGTTCCGCACAGAGACAATTGGAGCGTCCGTACATTCGGGATCAATATAAGGAGATGTTTTATTATTTTTGAAAATTTTATTTGCAACTTTTCCTTTACTATGTACTTCAATCTGCCGTACTAGTTCATTGTTCATTTCAATAAGTTCCAAATTCTTGGCGTTTAGAAGTTTCATCTCCTCACTATATTGGTCTCGTTTGTTTCGAAGTTCTTCTGTTTCCTGTAATAACGAGTCCTTTTCCATTTGAAGTGATTTAATATCGGTCAGGTAATTTTGTTTGACTAAATCAAATTGGGTTGATAAATGCTTTGCGATAGAACCTGGAAGATTATTTGATACATTTGGAGTGTTCCTATTAATTTTTAAAATTAACTTGTTAGAAAAGTATAATTGAATTTTAAATAAACATTACGTAAATGAACTTACTCAGCAAGACCAGCTTGCTTTTCTTTAGTTAATACTTCTAATTCATTAATTGCAATCTCTTTTTGCAGATTCAATTCTTTCAACTCATTTTGTAATAATTGCAGCTGGTCCATTGATAACTTTGAATCTTTTAGAATCTTTTCAAAATGTTCTCTATCTAATTTTGCAGCTTCTAAAGTTTTATGTTGAAGCTCAAGTTCAGAACGCAAACTTTCAACAATTTCTTCAGCTTTACGTCGCAAAGTAACTTCGGTATTAAAATCTTCTTTAACCATTCTAAAATCATCGAATGCTCTCTGACTAACTCTCTAATATAAATGGGAAATATTAATATTTAAATGTTAACATAATTATTCTATATAAATTTTATTTAATAAAAAGATAGTCATAAAATAAAATAAAAGAAAATACTTTAATCTTTCGAAAATTGCTTTCAGATTCGGCCAACTTCTTTTTTAATTCAAATAATTGTTTTTTCAATTCTTCAGGTGAAGTATCTTCAGGCTCAATAATAATTATTTCATTTTCCTTACTAGAAGCAGAAGTCAAAGACGACATACTATCTTTTCGTTCAGGTGACATAGGGGATTCACCAGGAGAATTATCACCAATAGATTCAGTCTTTATAGAACCGGTTTGTGATTTAAAACTTCTTTCATCGGAAAAGTCAGCAGTAAATAGACTAGGTTCTATCTTTAAATCAGATTCAATTTTTATATCAGACAAAGCATCATCGAGATTTCCATCGTTAGTTTTATCAGAGAAGGATAAAGGAGGTAAAACAGGCGGACCACTATCATAAGCAGCCTTGCGAGGAGTTACGTCGTTATTAGTAGATGAAGGAAAATCTGGACTCGTAGGGGAATTTGAAGAAGGAGTTGATGGAGAATTTGAATGTGCCGGATAATAAGTTGAATAAGAAGGAACTTCGTTAGGTGAAAAAGAATTTGATCGCTCATCAATGTGAGGTAATTGTTGTTGATTTGGTAAATTTTTTTTCTTTATTGAAGATGAAGAGTCAATTTTCCTATGCATACTTTTTGACCAAAGTTCCATTTTATCACTATAATTACTATTAAGAGACAAGGTATGATTGGAACCGTCGTAAGGTTCGCTCCGTAAACTTGTGATGGAAGCATTTCTAGAATGTTTTTCATTTGTTTCGCCGCGATTCTTGGAAGGAAACATTCTCGCAAGATTTTCTATAGAATCATTCCTTTTTGAGAAAATACCGTGTTTTTTTGGTAGATCCTCACGCGATTTTTGTTTATCATCGGAACGTTGATGACCATTAAGTTTTCCAGTTTTATTCTTAAGGATATCAGCAAGCTGGCTATCAAATAGTCGAGAATGACGACGATTTATGCCAGCATCTTCAGAGATAGGAAGAGTATGAGATTTTGGTATAGAATCAGCAGATTCCAAAGACGATCTTGGTATTATTGTTTGTTGAGAAACGTCACGTTCGAAAGAACGTTTTGGATGTAAAGTGCGATTTGGAAGACCAAGTTTTTCGTTATTCTATTTTTTTTTATTTTTATTTTTTTTTAATAATAAAAAAATTTAACAAGCTCATAATATTGACAAGAATATAATATAAACCAATTATTTAATAGCTTACCCTTGAAGCCTCATCGGGTAAAGAGGGTAGAGATTTGTCTAGTTTAGATTGAGGTAAATGGAAGTTCATCTTCTCTTTCGTCTCTTTCTCTTTTGTCTCTTTAACTTGCTTTGCTTTATTGACCCTTTCGTTATGACACTTCATGCAATATATTCCCTTTTTCGAACGAACGAAAAAATTGCCAATGGATAAGCGATTTCATGATTAATTATTATTATTTTAATTTATTTTTTTTAATTGATAAACATTTATAAAATTTCATTGCGTCTTCATTTAAACAAGAAGTGATACCAATTTAAATAAGTTGAAAAAACATCCAATACACGTATATTTAATAAAAAATTATCAAATACCTGATTTGTTTTCGCAAATACTAAATCATCAATCTTGGAACGACACTGACGACAACGAAAGCAATCAACGTGAAAAGACTCGTCGCCTGTAATAATTAGCGAACAGAACATGACAAATTAATAAACAAAGAAGACAAAACTTAAAGTTGCAATAACTAACCTGTCATAATTGTCTCATCCAATATAGGTTTTTTGCAAACGCTACAATTGTATGAACATTTTTCACATATTAGATTGCCATCCGATGAGAGTAAGATATTGGTGTCATGCTCTATCAGATTGAAACATTTTGCGCATCGAAAACTGAATGATTTAAAGGAAAAAAGTAAATAATAAATAAGCTGAAAAAGGGGAAAGGAGAATTACTTTAAACAATCTAACAAATAAATTTAACAAAAGAACTTACCATTCAATATGCCATATGCCATCGCCGAAAGCAACAACATTTCCTTCTTCTATAAGGCTCTGACAGCCCATACAACAGGTCTCAAAATGCATAACGGATATTTACTGATGAAAGATTTTGACTAGCAAGAATATAAAAGATATATGTACACAGAAAAAAAAGAAAGACGGTAAAGAAAATTACATAGAAAGTTGTAAAAATGAATTAATCAAAATAATTTGTTTTACTAAAGTAGTAATGACGATGTCTATTAAGAGGTGAGAAAAGTGAATAATAAAAAATCTTTCGAGTTTTAGTAAGCTTTCGAATCAAATGAACAACAATAAGATAAAATGTCGAGCACTATATCGCACTATATGTAATGTATGTATGGCTATGTAGTATCACTTTTGTTTTCGTCACATACGTACAAGCGTGAACGACGCACATGGTCTACTTAATGCAAGTACGAAATTTGATTTATGCAAATTTTTGACTTAAAAAAACTGGAGTTGCATAACTTTAATTCAAAACAATGTAAATTCTTTCTTTAACAATTCACACAATAGCAATTCACCGAAATTTAAATTAAGTAATTTATTGAGTACGAATGATTTTTGTTATATAAAACTTACTTGCCAATTCTTGGAATTATTGGAATTATTAAAATTTAATTTAGATCTTCCGAAGTTTCCACAATGAAATGTCTAACAAGGAGAAATGAAATATAAATAAACCGGTTACATCTTTAAGCAATGTGGATCCAAACAAAAGATTTTGTCAAATCATAGATCTTTAGTGACTTTAGTGCGCTAGATATAATTGGAAGCTATGTGGCGCAGTATGCTATAATCTCGTGATTTTTCGATATATCAGACTTATCAGACTAACAATTCTCCAAAAATTTGAAACTAAAAAATTTGGCTAATAAAACTGAACCAGAATATAATAAGCAACTCCTTCCGCTTAGATCCAACCTTTGGCATTTTATTTGGTAACATAAGGTAATTTGTTAACATTTAATATTAACGGCGTTGTTAGATAAAATTGTTCCTGCGTACCCCTGTGTTTCGAATCTTTTGCCTCATCTTAATAATGTGAAAATATCTAATGTTTGAAAAAATTAAACTATGTTAATTAATACTACTTAACTACGTAACTGGCGCGAAATAAATATAAATTTGGTTTTATTTAATAATAAATTCGGTAAAAAAAAAAAGTAATATTATATGGTACAAATCGATTATACGGAAATACGTAAACTTATCGACGAATTTAATTACATAAAGAAAAACAAGTGTCTTTGAGTCTAACGTTACATACTATATTGCACAAATTATATATTAGCGTTAGGCACAAATATAAACATTTAATATTACTGTATATTTTTAATATGTAGTGCGTAATATTTATTATCTGTTATTCTGCTAATTATTACTTACGACGCTAACGATAAGTAATTTCTATTTTCCCGGCAAAGTCGATCGTAACGCTATTTTCTGGGTATTACAGAACATGTCTCTCTGGTTGTCGTACTTATTCGTCAAATTAGTTGACATATCTAAATTTCTTTAAGAAAGTTATCTTTATCTAATTTAATAATTAAAGATATATATATCTAAACTTTTAAAAAAGTTTAAATACAGGCAGACCTCGACCGATATAATCACTGGATTAGTAACCAAAATTCAATGTAACTAAGGCGATAGTGCCTACGTATACAGGGGTTAATTTTCTTATGCTTTATTATGGTTAGTAAAATAAAAACAGACTTTTTTTTTTTTTATAATTGGTGATTATATCAAGAGGGACTATATCGTTCGAAATTGGTGTTCTCGGAATTTTCATAAGAACACTAAGAACACTGTTATGAATTTGTGCACAGTAAAATGTTTTCTATTCACGATTAAAAGTTTTTTACGTATAAACAGAAAAATAATATTTTTACCTATATGTATTTTTTAACATAGGTTAGTCTTTTTTTTTTTTTTTTTTTCAGCGATCCTTCCTTTATTATTTAAATCGGTGTAAAATTACACTTGTAGAGGCTAACCTACCTAGTAAACTACATATGCCTGTACTAATAAAGAATCACTCGATCTATTAAACAAGAACCCATAAATGGATTCCGCAAGGAAGACCCAGGTGTGACCCGCCTAAGTGGTTCATGTTTACCTCGTCTGTGATTCTCAACTTACTGAAAATTTATACCTCAAGAGTCTACAGTAGGTATCCACCAATCTTGTTAGGATTACTGCCCTATATAATATATCACCAATCTGAAGAAAAATTCCCTAACAAAAAAATTCTGAAGAGCAAATAGGGTAAGAGGAATTACAAGAGGGGGATATTTTAAAACAAAACAGATAAGAAAATGACTAAACTAATAAAAGGAATCTAAAGCACTAATTATAAAACTACAGAACCTATCTAACAAATTGGTATTTGCTAATCAGAATACTTGTCTATACAATCATAGTAATTATATAGAACTCAACTGACATATAAAAAACTAAATTAAATATACTTTAACCTGTGCTAAGAATTAAAAATTATATGCATATGATTTTGTCATTAAACTGCATATCTCAAATTCTTTTTATTGTCCAACTATATTCTATTTTAAAGTATAACAAATACATCAACTTCATGTGTTTTTCCTATATCATCTTATCTAATAGATGTATAAGTCTTTAAAAACTATTTGTATCCTTAATGTACTGGAGTCATGTTCCCAAATAAGAAATAAATTACTTCCTATATAGCCATGTGTTTGTTGTATTCATATCACAGAGTTGCTGAATATAGAAGTGGTAAACAATATTAATGAGTGCATCTATGTACCCTCCAAACTAGTTTGAAACCCAGTTTCTAGCCACTATATACTTCTCACTCAAAATAGAAATAATCATCATATTGTTATTTTTTTGATTAATATTAACAAATATCAGCAAATTTAATAGGGTGTAATATTTTGAAATAATTTATGATTCATAAAAAATCATAATATTACATAATATATTTTGAAACTTGTGAAATATAAAATTACAAAATATTATATAAGGGTAGTATCATTTATCACCTGATTTTTTTTTATCAGAGGCTTACCCCCTCCTCTCTTACTATATATCTTGATCAGGTCTTTATATATAATTTTAAATTTTTTACCCTCTTTCACCCTAAAAAATCACCTAATTTTTGTCATATTTCTAAGAAATTACAAAATATTATATAAGATATTCTGAAATATTATGATAATTTTATGGTTTGTAAATTATTTTAAATTGTTTCGAACTAGATAAAAATAGTTAATACAAAATATTTCACTAATATAAAGTCTGTCCTAGTATCACCCTAAAATCAGTTATAATTGGATTCAATATAACTAATTTTTAAAATAATACTTGGTTCGTCATATTGTATCACCCAATTATGATTAAAGATCAGTAATCATATTTTTTTTATTTTTGTATTTTTTTATTTTATTTATTTATTTATTTTTTTTGCCACACCATCAGATAGATAAGTATAATCAAATTCTATTGTTTTTTTTTTTTATATTATTACTATTTTTTTTTTCATCGTTTAGTAAAGTTTTTCTTTTTTTTTTTAAGTTTTTTTGTTAAATTTCTGCCTTAGATCTTTTAGACATTTTTGAAAATC